ACACATTGTGGGTGTGTGTCATGAACCCCAGGTTCATGATGTCATCCTCCCCTTCTCCGCCTCCTGCCTCGCAGGAATTTAAGAGCGTGAGCGTCGAGCAGAGAGGCCTTTGGCTAAGACTCCTCCCGCTGTCGACGGTCTCATCGACCCTGGTCTGATCGCTAGAGAATGTGGGTCCGATCTCTCCGGGAGGAGGGGGAAGATCGGACGTGAAGCCGGCGGACTCGCGGAACAAGCTGCCCCCCCCGCTTTTTTCCAGAGAAGGTTCATAGGGTCAACTCAAATCTCAAGACCTCAAATTCAAGAGTCAACGACACTCAATCATATTCGCCGTAGGGACCTAGGCTTGTTCGATTTATAAAGGTTTTGAGATAATAAATATAATTATTATAAAGTGTATGGAAATGGAAGTAGATCGTGCGATGAACCACCAAATTCTAACATCTGGGGAGTGATGCCCCTCAGAACAGTGGTGCATCGGCCAAATTGGGACTACTTACGGTACCTTTGGTGTTGCTCCTATGCTGGGTGGGACAGTTTTTCTGGATGCGCCCAAGCGTCGTTAATAATCAGCGAGTACTAGCACATGCCCCGCTTGTTAGGCATTCCGCAGTTCCGTCGCTCACGACTAAATGAGGTTATACTTCTTTGGAACTTCTGTCAAAAAAAGCGTTGATAAACCTCAGGTGTTGAGTTAGGATGTGTAGGCCCTCATAAATACAGCGAAGATGTAGAACACATCGGTGTGTGTAAAACGTGGCTTTTGTATGAGCTATGGAAAACAATGTACAGCAGACGGCTTCGGTCAACGGGAAGTCATGTAATATTTTAAACGCAGAATGTGAGTTTAGTTAACCACCCAAGTGAAGCTTCAATCCCTCCACAATCCGCGCTTGGAATCCACAATATTGATCGCGGGAGGAAAAAGGGTGAAAGTTCCAGTCACGACTACTCCATAACCTAATAGGAACCGTCCACTAGCCGTGGGACTACCATCATTAAGCTGGCTCAGGCTGGTAGATTACGAAATGAGCCCTTTAACGTCTACAGTGCAGGTGGTACAATATTTCGATGAGTGCAGGAACTCGCTCATGCTTTCCTCTGAGGACTCGTAGGAAGTTAGAAAAGTCCTTCTATGTAATTCTACGATGGATAGCAAACTTTTCGGCCGAAGTGCGCTGATGAATAGATATTTTTTGACTTTTCACGCTCCTATATCTATAGGTTGTACCGATACTGTTTTGAAATGCTGCTACTTAAAGGAATCTTCCACGGACCATGGTGGGCGGGACCGGAAGTTTTTGTGACGAAATGCATGGTAGGTACGGATCCACGTGTCGAACGCACGAACGTGAACAGGATTCACTTCAAACCTTCCCATGAACGTGGATCCGTACCTACCATGCATTTCGTCGCAAAACCACTTCCGGTCCCGCCCACTGGTCCATGGTTCCTGGAAGATTCCTTTAACTTCGACTCCGCACTTGTGCGGTTTGCACTGAACAAAAGTGCTATATAAAATTACGATATTTTTTTATTTTGATCATAACAAGGAACGCGTGGCTGTCACAAAAACAAGCGCGTGACTCTAAATAAATGTAGAAATTCAACTGAGAATCCAAGAGAGGTGCGTCAGCGGTGCATTGAGTACAATCTTCCGTCGAAGACTACCATTGGCCTGATTGCAGAGCGATCTGGTGGATACTGATAGTCTCTGCAAAGTCCACGTTTAGTTGGATCAGACCCAAAACGAAGGCAAGCGACCTCCCAACCAACCTGTATAAAACGTCTAGACGAGGCGGCTGGAAGTTCAGCATTGTACGGGCCACTACTTCCCTGAAACTAAAGTAATCTGCTTTTCCGAGTAAACGAAATGCTCTAATTGGCAGTGTTCAATCGTTGGAAGTAAGGGACCGACCTCTCTTTGCCTCGAATCATGCGAAGACTTGGCATGTCAAACGAGAAGCAAGTCGACAATAGAGAAAGCAACGATACCAGGAATGGAGTCACAGTGACCATCTGAAAGTACTCTTGTGATGAAGTAAAGTAAAGGTGATATTCCAGCGAGCGTTGAAAATCAGAGCAATTTTCTGAATAATTAAGCGGAATGTCAGAAGGAAAAAAGAGGAAGGAACTCTTTCACACGATTACTACGGCAAAAATGTCGCAACATAATTACAATCTCCTTCATCAAGTAAATGAATAGAAACGTTTGACCTTTCCGAGTTAATTGAAAATTAACACGCTCCATGCGACGACATATCGCCTACTAGTCACCTCGCCCTTCGTGTTACTAAGGCAGTTCCTGCTCCATTTTTGCAGTCAAAAAGAAATCTCCCAGAGTGATACAAAGGAAGACTGAAGCTAAAGACAAAAGCTATGTGTACGAGAAATCCGAAAGCAGCACATTTACATTGACATTTCCATTT